GTTAAATAAAAATAATTCATTAAAAATATAATAAAAATGTCATATTAAATTTGACATAAGACATAAGTTTGGAAAAATAACGAATTATTGAATTATTGAAAACAAGATAAGAAATAATTGGTTATGATATTCACCGTTAAATAGTTTTGTAACAAATAGCTATTACAGAAACGTAATGGAATTATTTTAAGCTGCGGAATATGACACAAATATTGATATGCGAGCATAAAAACACATAATAATAATACCAAAATCACTGATACAGACGATGGCGATAAGGTATATTTATTAAAATGAATGTATCCAAAAGTAAATTTAGTGACTTTTTTTAAATCGCCAGTAGTAAAAATCAGATTTCTGGCAATTTGAATCATATAACATATTTTGTATATACTATATATATATATACTCGTATGTTGTACTAGTTAAGTTATATCTTGAAGATAATAAACAATTATTAAATTCTACAAACTTCTAGCTTAGATAGGGATATAATTTTTTTTTAAATTTTAAATAATGCAAGAGTCTTGCAGCAAGATCAAGACTATAATCAGTATTGAGCATAATCGATTAATATACGATTAAATTACGTAATCGATTACGATTAATTTATCAAACTACATTAGTTATTTATCTTTTAATTATTTTTCAAAGTAATCAATAATCATGATTACATTTTCTTAATCGTTAATCATTATCACAAAATTTATTGCATAACTACAATATTGTGGGCGCCTGTAAAGTCCACCGATTGGTACCTTTTTAGACCTTTTTTCATGTAAATTCTACTGTTCTAACGTTTTTATTTTACCCAAAAAAAAAAATGTAAATTCCACTGATATGTTTTTTTTTACTTAAAAAAAATAATGTAAATTCAACCTATAAGTTATTTTTACCTGAAATAAAAGTAACATTATGTTGGTAAAATTTTAATCCAAATTCAATCTGATTAATTAGGATTACATAATTTATGTGGGTATAGATTTATTATAATATATTTAGTGTATTTAGATACAATAATTTTAAATTTAAAATTTGGTTAAGTAATGTTTAGGTGCAGCTTTGACGAATTGCATAATGGTAATATTGTTTTTTTTTTTAATGCCGAAATTACGGTGTTTAAATATTTTTGGCGTGATTTTGATTGTGAATTTCTAAGATTATTATGTTCATTAATGCTGTTTAATTTAATATAAGTGAATGATTTAATATCTAATCGAGCTTTTGTAAAGTTAGATGTATATTTGGATGTGTGTTCTCAAAGGAGTTTATGTGTTTTTAGGTAAAAAATACGTACCGGTGGAATTTACATTTTTTTCAGGTAAAAAAAATTATCAGTGGAATTTACATGTTATAAATCCAAGCCTAAAATCGATTACCTGTAAATCGGTGGAATTTACAATCGCCCAATATTGTATTGTAGAACTACTTTAAACTGGTCGATAAATTGTATTTATTTTTTTTTATCTAATAATGTTCAAACGTTTGTATTTAGTTGGTTTGGTACATTACTGGTTGCATTTCGTTGTTTTTTGTTTTATTCTGCTTCGTATACGATAAACCTACGTTCTACTTATTATATTACAATGAGTGACAACGAAGGAACTTCTGTATCAGAAAACAATCGAAATTCATCATCTCCAGATTCTCCACCACTATTTCAACGATCAATTTATAGTAATTTTTTTAAATTTTTAGCTGAAAAATCATGCACATCTGAAAGTAAAACGGTGATTCAATGCGTAAAATGTAAGCCAAAAATAGTAGAACTAAAAGGTTATAGAAGTTTGTCTTCTAATTTTGTTACACATTTAAAACGTCGACATGGTTCTGAAGCAACAGAAGAATATAAAAATCATATGAGATCAATTAGGCCACCAAATACAAAAGTTAAAATTTTTGTTAAGCAATTAAAAATTAAAACAACACAAGAGAACTTCAAAAGTGAAATTATGAATTTTTTTTTTACATTCAATGATGAGATGTGTAGAAAACCCATATTTTAAAAAAATATTTAATATTTAAATATATCCAATTCTGGAATATAGCGGGATAGTCGAAATGCACTTATTACCTACAAATAAATGATCGAAATGCACTCGTTCAAAAAAAGAGTTATAATAGAAAACCCTCTAAAAATATTACGAATCTTTCTGTTAAAGAACGTTACAGCGTACTTATTTAATAGCATTATATATTAGTTCGTGCCATTTAGATAACACAGATAATATTATATAATAATAACATATATACTCAGAAGCGTATTACCCGGGTAGAATTTTTGAACACATTTAGTTATTACTACAAAAAATTATAATAATGACAATAATTAAATATGATTAAAAAAAAAAAATGTATACCTAATAATAATAATATGTATAATATAATATAATATAATGTATAATATAAAAATTATAATGTAAATATATATAATTAACATTTAATAATGTGATGTATAAAACAATAATTTTTAACCACGCTAATGATTATTAAATGGTAATAAATGTAACTAAATAAAATAAATCTCACCCCTTCAAATGCATGATAATTTTATTGAAATACTTTTTTGAGCCCAAGTGCAATTCGACCAATACCTGCTTTTTACCCGAGTGCAGTTCGATCATTACTTTTTTTGAACCCAAGTGCAATTCGACCATACCCATTTTAAGCCGGCGATCTCTTTGTCGAAAAATTGATACTTATTATGAAAAAAACCAAATTGAAATAAAAGAAAACTTAAAATATGTACAATTTGTTTGTACTACTGTAGATATTTGGTTTGGAAAAAAAGAAGTTTTCTAGAGGTAACATGTCACTGGATTTCATCGACTAATTTAAATCGGGTATCAAAGGCTTTATCATTTATCCTTTATTGTTTTAAAGGAAGTCATACTTATGATAATATTTCTGATCTAATTAATGAAATACATTTGGAAATCAGCTTGAATCCTATTAAAATTATCACTACAGTTAGTGATAAAATCAGTCATTTTGTAAAAACATTCAACATTTTTGGATTAAATAAAATAAATATAATTGTTATCGAAGAGGAAAATTTAGTTGATAATATTAATACCTCAAACTTATCAGAGTTTAATTTAGAATTTAACGAAAGTAATCAATTTTAAAATTACGTACATAGGGCAGATGTAGAAAATATATTGCCAATGCATTTTAGATGTTACGCACGTACTCTTAATTTATGTGTAACTGCAGATATAAATAGAGTTATGAAAAATTCTGTTGAATTGTCATTAGTACACGTTTCAGTAATGAATAAATGTAATATTCTTTGGTATTTAAATGGACAGCCAAAATCGGCTGAAATTATACATAATTTATTAGAAAATGCATTAAGTAAGCCCGGAGAAACCCGATGGAACAGTTTATACGATTCACTTCGACAGATATCAAATATAAAAAAAAAATATTTTAAATTTAATTATTACTTTAGAAATAAATAAAAAAAGTTTACGGGAACAAGATTTTAATTATATTGAAGAATATTTATTATGCACAGCGCCAATAGCTGAAACATTGGATATAATGCAAGGTGAAACCAATACTTATTATGGTTTAGTACCATCATGTCTTCTAGCATTAAGAAGAAAAATTTAAGATTTAGCAAAACGTATCTGGGTATATTGCAAACATATAATCGATGCATTGTTACAAAATATTGAGAAAAGATTTGAAAATTATTTAGATTTTCTTCTCCTGAATCTCTTAATGCTTCAATAGCAGTATTTACATCCGCGTTTTAAAAAAACGTTGGTTCACATATGTAAAAACAGAAAACCATGATAGACTCATTCATATTTTCAAGAAAGCAGCAGATGATGTGTTAGTGCACAAAACTCACCCTTACATTCAGAAAAATCACCCATAAATCAATTGGACGATATTTTTGACTTCAAATCTTCTTCTTCGACATCAACTGGTAGAACAAAATCAGAATTAGAAGTTCTACATTTCTTGTCCGATAAAGAAAATAATCTCAATAATCTAAACAAGTATCCTATTATTAAACAAGTTTTTATTCAATACAATACTCCACTTCCGTCGTCGGTACCAGTGGAAAGACTTTTTTAATTTGCAACAATGATAAATCAACCAAGAAGTCATAAATTATCCGATCAACTATTTGAGAAACGTATTGTATTAAAAGCAAATATATTATAAAAATGTTATAATTTTTACACTATTTATTATTTTTATTATTATATTATTATTACATAATTATTATTATTTTTATGAACTGGATTTATTATAATTTCTATGTTTATATTTAGTTTATTATTAAAAAGTTATTTTTCCAAAAAAAATATGTTATTGTATTGTGAATCTTCATTTTTTGTCTGTAATATATAAAAACTGCTTACATCATAATCATTGTTAAATTTACTCCTTATTTATTCGTTTTTTTTTACAATATACTACATATAATCAATAAGTATAATACGTTTAAAGTGCACTACAATGATCAATAAACTACATCTTTTTTACATTTTTATCTCATAATATATTTGTTATTCAGTCCAAAATCGTTATTGAAACATCATTAATCATTAATCGTTAAAAAAATAGTCATGATTACAAATTAACATATTTTTTAATCGTCATGAATCAGATTACGATTTGCCCAACACTGACTATAATGGCTCTACAAAACCAAAACCAAGAATGAGTCTGCAAGAACAAGACCAAGATCAAGACTACCATAGTATTGGTCTTGATCTTGGTTTGCTCATCACTAATTTAAAATCAAATCTTTTCTCGTGTTCATATAGGTAATTGAAATATTTATAAATTTGTGAAAACTATTTTTTTCGTATTTTTTTTTTTTTTTTTTTTTTGTAGTAGTAGTAGTAAAATATTCCCAACTTATAAATTAATAATTAAACTAACTATAAAGGAAAAATCAATCAATTTGGTTTATAATTTTTAAGTTTTATGTCCAACGTTTATAAATATAGCAATATATATAATTATATATTTACCAAAAATTTCTCCTTGACTGGCATATTCTGAAATAATATATATCATATCTTTCGATTCCATAACCTGTAAAAAATATAATTATTCAAATTTATAAACAATTAATTTATATTCACACTAATAATGACGAAAATAACTTATTTTCAATTACTAACATTAACCACAATAAAATAAAAATCTAAATTTACATCTCAAAATTAAAAACCTGTAAATTTTGTAGACAAAATAATTTAGTAAAATTAAAATACATAGAGTAATCACAGGTGAGTTAAATAATTAATGAATGATAATTATCAAAATATTTTAATATAACCGATTAATAATTATAATTATAATTCTGTAATTATAAATCTGTACTTCGAAATGCAATTAAAAATAAATATATAATGTACACTAAATGTTTTATTTATTCAAATTATAAATATTTTTTATATAACGTAACCTATTTGTAAATATAATCCTTTATCTGAATCTATAATTATAATAAAGAAATATAAAAAACTAAAATAGTAAATAATAGTAATAATAGTAATGAAGCATGTAATCAGGAAAAGTACTCAATAATATTTTGAAAGCTAAAAGACCACATCATTTTTCAACAAATTATTATACATTTATTTTTATTTAACTATGTATTTTATAACAGCTGTTTTTAAGAGATATAACCAAAAAAAAAAAAAAAAAACAGAATTAGTGAGACCAGAATCTGAGTAGATTAAAAATTGTCGCACTAGCTTAGTTTTGAAGTTAAGCTAATTTAAATTTTACCCATTTTATATCTATTTACTTATTTATATTTACTATTTACTCAAAATGGTTTTTTTTAAAACAATCGTCTCATCAAGGTATTATCTTTTTAACTTTTTTTTTATCGATCTTTAAAGCTTCGACACCACAGGCCATTAGCTTTTGAGATTTATCCAATTACATAAATACTTTGAGGAGAAAAGAAAAGAAGTTTTTACAACTTTAGTAGCTTATTACTATTTAATTCTTATATTTTTTTTCTAATTTAAGGTATTATTCTTTACCAATATGTATAATTATATATATAAATACAAAACAATAATTAAAGCATGTATTCGAAAACAATACATTATTCATATAATAGTATTTAACTTTCTTAACCTGATATAGTTTAATGATATGAGGATGGTCCAACTGCTTCATAATATCTACTTCTCGATGTACCTTCTCAAGATTAACTGCATCCAACTTCCTTTTATCGATCATTTTTATAGCCACCTAAAAAATAAAATAAAACAATTCGTCAAAATATATTTGATTTTATTTTTTATATTAATGAAATCACAACTGTTTTACTCAAAATATACAGTATTGTACCATTTAAAACAATAAAATAAATTTAATATACTATGTAATGTAAAAATTAAAATCAAACATATTTTTTTCTCAATAGCATATTTAAAATATACACAAATTTACTCACACCGTAATTAAGTAAAATGGCTGCATCCGAATTGAGTCCCGAATGTAAAATTACTACACTAGTTGGGTCCCGAATTATTTTAAGTACTACACTAGTTGGGTCCTGAATTATTTTAAGTATACACTAGTTTCTGAATATTTTTTGGTAAGTACTATATTGTACTAACATTTTCCTTCCCATTTTAATAGACTTAAAACTATCTATAATCAATTTAGACCAAAGGTATAGTTAAAAATGTTTTTTATAGTTTTTTTTTGTTTTTTAGTTTCTTTTCCATTAATTTTTATTTATATTATATAATGATTTTAACATTTTTAATATTTTTTCATTTACCTATATGGCTATAATTAAATCGGTCATTTCGAAAAGGCCATATCTCCATACATTTTCAAAACTAGTTTTATGTGATAGATGTGTTAACTAATAATAATGCATATTTCCAGCGAGACAGCCATATCATAGTTGGTTTTTTATTAAGGAATTAAATAATTCAGCACATTTTCAATTTTTATCTAAATTTAATTTTGATCTCTAAAAATAGTTTTTTATGTTTCCTGACAATTTTCATTTTATGGAGATATGGCCTTTTCGAAATGACCGATTCAATTATATTATATAATATGTATTTTACACTTGATTTTTAACATTTTTAATATTTTTACCACCACAATTCTAATAATTTATATTTTAACTGAAAAGAAACTAAAAAACAAAAAAAAACTATAAAAAATATTTTTAACCATATCTTTGGTCTAAATATATCGTAGATAGTCCTAAGTTTGTTAAAATGGGATGGCAAATGTTAGTATAATGTGGTACTTACCAAAAAATATTCAGGAACTAATGTAATACCTAAATTAAATAATTCAGGACCCAACTTCTGTAGTACCTATAAAAATCCGGGACCCAACTAGTGTAGTACCTACAAAAATCCAGTACTCAACTAGTACACTACCTGCGATTACCTCCTAGTACTCGGGACCCAACTAGTATGCTTCGGGTAAAATACCCATTTTCCAGATAATTATATAATAAAATAAAAAATATTAAATTTCAAATTTCGTTTTGGATATTTTATACTTAATACCAAATAGATATCACTCGTATACAGGTACATAATATATATTTTCAAATATACTTTAAACTTTAATATAAAACTATAAACTAAAATATAATTTTAACAATGAAAAATGTCTGTTAAGTATAATAAATAAATATAATTAGTATTTTTGGTTTTATATTTTTTTAATTTTTTTTTTTTAATAAATTAATTATAATATAATATATTAATAAATAATAAAAAATAAATTATTAATAATAATCATAATATAATAATTAATTATAAATTACATATCTAAAATTTAATTTAATTACATTTACAGTGATTATCTATCTCTTTTAAGCATTGCTTGTGTCAGAAGCAAAATTAATAATGATAATTGAAAACATCTGTCGAGGTATATAAAGAATAAAATTAATTAATCCAAAAATTAAATTTGTTTATATAATATTTTAAAATTTTAAAATTATAAGAAAAAATATAGCATTAATTATTGCCTTAGAGAAGGTACAAAAAGATACTTAAACTTATTGAGTAAACAACCAATGATATACCATTTTTTTTTTTTTAATATTACATTTGGAACAATGAAGATTTATTTACATACGAGTATATGGCACAGAACTAAATAGTTCCAAAATATTGACCAAACTATTTATAGGAATATTATTCCATCTTTCCTTTTGCCTTCAGGCAATTTACAATCCTTAACTTGCGTAAGCTTCTTAAAGTGAATAGAATGACAATTTTTTTTTTTATAAAGAAATGTATTTGGTAAAACACTCAACTCCTTATTATTTTGTGACGTAGATCCTTGTAAGGAATACTTATTTAAATAAATTTTTATTATATTGTTTTGGTTTGTTTGAAGTTTATTTAGAAAACCATTTCCTTAATCTCCTCATTCTAAGATTGATTGATATAACGTAAAATATGTATGTATAATTCGCATTGTTTGCTTGGGCACTCTTGAGTAACGCCTCGGGTTAATAGAAAATGTGCGGACGAAAAGGCCCAGCCGTAAATCCGGATCTCGTGTTTGCTTGGGCACTACGCTAATTAGTTTGTAGAGTTTAAATGTTATGGAAAAAAGATTTTCAACTAAATTCTGAATATGTAGATTCCATCGTTAATTATTATCAAAAATAATACTTAAATATCGATTACTTGTTACTTATTTGCTGACTACACATTTATTTATATTATTAAAGTTGTTATCTTCAATACATACATGTATTGTTATTGGGTCCAATACGACAAGAAGAAGATTGTTATTGGGTTAAGATTTTGAAAACTTTTATAAATTTATAAGGTCATAAACATCATTTTTTCTTTATTGAGTGTAAATTTTTTATCATATAGACATTTTACAACTTTGTTTAAACCAACAGTCACTTAAACTCTAGTCCAAAAGTTGTCGATAAAAAGTAAACAAGTACCATCAGCATATGAAATAACTAACCCATCTAAAATTATATAACTGACCAGATTTATGTATAATATAAATAAAATTGGACCCAGTACTCTTCCCCGAGGGATTCCATGCTCAACAACATCTTCTTAACCTATTATTTGATTTATCATTTGTTTCTTATTTTTTATATAGTTTTTAAACCAATTTAAGCTTAGATTATTTATACCGAAATAAGGTAATATCTGTAATAAAATTATGTAATTCACTGTATCAAAATGCTTTAGTTGAATCCAAAAACACAACTATCACTTTATTACTGTTATCTAGTTCATTATAAAGAGAGTTGTATTAAATAGATCATCCATAATTATTTACATCTTTACGATAACCGGCTTTGAAAATAAGTTTAATTACTGCTACTTTAAGATCATCTAAAAAGTATATGTTGCTGTATACTTACTCAAGTTATAATATAAATTAAAGAGTTTACTATAAGTTCAAAAATATATTTTAATAATTTAATTGTTACCCTATCTATACCTGCTACTGTATTATCTTTGTTGTATTATCTACTGTATTATCAGTTATAAACTATGTTAATAATTTCGGCGTTCTTTTTTTTTTTTATTTTTTTTTTTTAAACCACCAAAAGAAAAATGATTATAATTTTTTAAGTCATCATTTTCACCAGCATAATTTATACTTTCGACTAGTCTCTTCTCAACGTTTACAATGAATTTATTAAAAATATTTAACCCACCTTTCGGGTCATTCATTATTAACATAATGTTCCTGGTAATCGAAAAATATGGTTTAATTTCATCATTGTTACTAATCTTAAAGTATGTTATTTCATTTATGAATTGCCAAGTTAGTTTAAAATTGTTGGAAACACTTTAATTTATATTCATAAAATATCTTTTTAGCGAGTCTCAAAATTTATGTATGATTATTTTTATATTTTTACAGTATAGGACTAAATTAATATTTTTTGAATTTTTTTTTTTATACTTTAGATATAAAGATTGTTTATGGCGGGTAGAGCATAACAAAATAACTGACATCCATTATTTTAATCGCAAATTATTCAGCTGCTAATTTATCGGTAAGTTTAGAAATTATTTCTTAAAACTTAGAAAAACACTCATCCACACTATTTCTATTAGACACTGTCAATTTTTTTTTAAATAATTAATTTTTAATTTTTTTGTGATCAATGAAAAAAACAAATTTACTTGTATTTATTGGTAATATGTTTATGGGTATGGAAACGCAAATTATGAGATAATCAGTAATATCTGTATATATTTACTTGAGTAATTATTTGGTCGTCATTATGAACAAATATATGATCCAGAAAGAAATATTTTTGCCCAATAGGTAACCTAATACAATACTTTTCAAACTGGGAGCCACGACCCCTAGACCCCATAATTGTATTACTGGAGGGCCGTAAAATATTTATTTTATCTAAACTATTTATTTAGACTATATTAGACTTTATTAGACTATTAATTTGTATTTATACAAGTATAAAGTATAATACTATAAAACATTTTTTTCAAAAGTGCAATAAAAAATATTAATGTAATATACATATTAATAGTTCATCTGTGTGAAATTAAACATGTGGTTTTAATATATTATTAAAAAAAAAAATAATTAAATAATGATTTTTATTATGGGAGCTTTGACAATTTTACATTAAATTTATGAGGCTCCATGATAATAAAGTTTGAGAAGCACTGACCTAATATACAAGTTTATTTAAGACTCAAAACGGTTTTCCGATAATATTTCAAGATTATCATTATTTGATACCGTTGTCCCCTTTATTTATATTTATATATCCAATAACAACGGTACGTTATCTTTTTTTTATTTTCTAAAAGATATTAATATCAGTTGTGGGTGATCTATAAATGCATAATGAATTATTTGACATAGGTACCTAAATTACTAAAAGAAAGTTTGGTTTCAATCAAATTATATTCAAAAAAGTCTACGTTATAATTATATTTAACAAAAACTAACATATGTAATTTCAATTCTTTTTTATTTTTGAGAAAAATAATTTATACCCATTAATAGTATCAACACATTTACTCAAAAGATTGTGCCATGTTTCAGTCAATATAATTATGTTTAAATTTTCCCTATTTGAATCATTTTTTTAGAAATAATGTTAGTTCGTTATAGTTCACTTTCTTAAAATTACAATATGAGCTATCATAGTTAAATACTAATAGCTTATATTAATAAATTCAAATATTTTTAACTCGACAAATAAAGAAAAATATCAAAAATGGTTCAAATAACTC